GTCAGCACAGTCTTGGTGGTGTCCACGCCCGTCTGGATGGTGCCCTTGGCCATACCCAGTGCCCCAGTGAGGCCTGTGGACACGGTGTCCTTGGTGCCGGTCAGCACAGTCTTGGTGGTGTCCATGCCCGTCTGGATGGTGCCCTTGGCCATACCCAGTGTCCCAGTGAGGCCAGCGGACACTGTGTCCTTGGTGCCTGTCAAGATGGCCTTCGAGGTGTCCACGCCCGTCTGGACGGCCCCTTTGGCCACATTAACAGCCCCGGTCACCCCACTGGAGACGGTGTCCTTGGTGCCGGTCAGCACAGTCTTGGTGGTGTCCACACCCGTCTGGATGGTGCCCTTGGCCATACCCAGTGCCCCAGTGAGGCCAGTGGACACTGTGTCCTTGGTGCCTGTCAGGATGGCCTTCGAGGTGTCCACGCCCGTCTGGATGGCCCCTTTGGCCACATTAACGGCTCCAGTCACCCCACTGGAGACGGTGTCCTTGGTGCCGGTCAGCACAGTCTTGGTGGTGTCCACGCCAGTCTGGACGGTGCCCTTGGCCATACCCAGTGCCCCAGTGAGGCCTGTGGACACGGTGTCCTTGGCACCTGTCAGGACAGCCTTTGAGGTGTCCAGACCCCCTTGGACGGCCCCCTTGGCCACACCCACTGCCCCCGTGACCCCGCTGGCCACAGCCTCCTTGGTGCCTGTGAACGCAGAGCGGGTCACTCCCAGGCCTCCCTGGACCACGCCTTTGGCTGTGTCCACCATGGTTGCCACCCCAGAGGAGATGGCGTCCTTGGTCTTGGTCATCTTGGAGTACACCAGGTCCTTTGCCCCGGAGATCACCTGACAGGGAAGGACACGTGTGGTCAAGAGGAGAGACAGGAGGCAGCCCACACCCCAGCCTTTCGCCAGCCTGATCTCTGACCTGCCTCGGGGTCCTCCTCCCACCCGCTCCTTACAATCAACCCTCTCGCCCTTTGGTCCAGCTGTGCTTGTCAGCCCCGACCTTCCAGGACACAGCCTTAACCAGCTCTGTCACCCCGCCGAGGGGGGCCCCCGACTCCATAGATCCCCCGTTGCTGACAGTAGCGCCCCAGCACCCTCAGAACCAGTCACCAAATGACACGTTTTGTTCATCTGGCCTAATCTCATTTTGTGGTGGATGGGATCCGGATTCCCCACTGCAGTGGGGGGACCAAATGGCTTAGGAAAGTAGATGAGTTCAAGTCAGAGCAGGCAATCAGTGCTTTCAGAAGCCACACCTGGAAAAGTACCAGGGCACGTATTAGTTTGTGTCATAGGAAACTGTCATTAACTTTAATCACTTTTGACTCACTGAAGGGCACTTTTCTTCTAGTTTAGCCAAATTGCCAGATGATTGTGATGGTCTGGGATTGCCACCCCTTGGGTTCAGCCATGAGCGTGCTGTTTCTAATCCAGTGGGTCTGTACCAGGGCAGTTCTGTCCCCTAGGAGGCCCTGGGCAGTGTCTGGGCACTCGTGTGGCTGTTATGACTTGTGGTGCTCCTGGCACTGGGTGGGTGGAGGCCAGGGAGGCTGCTCACCCACCTGCAGAGCCCAGGATGGCCCCACAACCAAGCCTTGTCCAGCCGCAAATGACCATAATCCTGGGGTGGAGAAGTCCTGACACTTTATTCTTACCGCCTGCCTCCTGCCTAGCATGGTCTCAAGTGGGCACCTTGTGCTCTGTGCCTGCACAGACCCGGGTTTGAACCCCAGCTCTTCCACCTGCTCTTGCTGTGTGACCTCAGGCAAGCCACATCCCCTCTCTGAGCCTCATCTGAAAGAAGGTGACTAAAACAGTGCCACCTTGAGGATTTGTGGAGGCAGGGAGTCAGGATGCCTGAAGCACTTTGTAGACAGTAGGTGCTCAGTTAATGCTCCTGGAGAAGGAGGCTTGTGTTATTTGTGGTTGGGGGAGAGATGGGAGGTGTCCTTGGCTGCAAGGGCCTGTTTTAATTTGAGCCTGAAGGGCCTCCCCAGGGTGAACCCAGCAGTTCTTTGGTTCTTTGCCCTCCCAGATGCTAAGATCCATCCAAGCTGAGGGCAGAGGGAGTCCAGAGGACTCCAAATGGAGGCAGGTGCTGGGCAGAAGAGTCTCTCAGGGTTCTGCCAGCCCCACCGTGGCCTTCAGCTGTCTTCCATCCACCTCCCAGCTCGCAGGCCTTGGGGACATGATCACATGGGCAGCCCCTGTTTATCTAGGACCAGGGTGGATGTGGCACTGACGGTTAGCATCTGTCCAAGGTTCAGCTCCCATGCTATCGTGCCTTGCTGTGTGACCCTTGGGAGGTGGCTTGGCTTCTCTGTGCTTCAGCTATTGGGTGGTACTTTGCCACCTTCTTCCGGGGCAGTTGGGAGGACTGACTATCAAGCAGCAGATACACAGCTCTTAGAGCTGAGCCTGTCGTGTGGTGCATGAGCTGCCGTCCTGCAGGTCACGTGGCATTAGACACAGAGCAAGGGCTCTCTGCAGACTGCGCGGCACCTTCCCACACGGCACCCATTTCACAGCTGTGGAAATGGAGGTTCAGAGGGGAAGGATGCACCTGGAATCCCACAGCAGGACACACAGGGGAGTCTGCCCTCTCTCCTTGGCTGATGACAGCTCCCACCTGAGAAGCAGGAGCCCAGACATCTCAGGAGGGGACCCCCAGAGGGAGACATAGGCTCTGCCGGTCCCTCTCACCTTGTCGGAAGGTGGTGACAGCTTGTCTCCACTGGCCGTCTGCTCCGGGTCGGTGGCTGCTGCAGGGACAGGAACCAGTCAGGCAACCCAGGGAGGAGGGCGAGGGATGTGGGTTGGCATCAGCCACCCTCATACCCATTATGAAATCGGTGGGCACAGTCGAAAGGTCAAGAATATCCCAGCCACCCCGCCAGGGACAGTAGGAGGTGACACCTACTGCCATGGGCCTGGCTGGGGGCCTCCGTGAGCCCCAGGGCCTCTGTCCTCTGGAGCAGGGGACCTCTGGAATTTTCGCTACCTGGGTCCTGGGTGCTGGATACCCACTCAACAGGGACCGCAGGAAGAGGGGCCAGTGTCCGCCATGCCCCACCCCCACTGCAGCTGCCAGCTGCCTGTCGGGCCTGGGTATGTAGAGGAGAAGTCAGCTGCCCGTGGCTCAGAGCCCAGATCGAGGCCCAGCCCGGGCAGCAACCCCCTCCCCCGTGCTCCCTTGCACCAGCCCATCTGTGTGTCCCAGGACTGCCCGAGCTCCCCAGCTGAGCAACTGGAGGGTGGGGAGCACCCTTAGGGTGCATGACCCCGGAGAAGCTGCTGCCCCTCTTTGGGAACCAGGATCCAAATCTTCGATGTGTTCAGACACGTAGAACACCCAGCCCTTGGTCCACGGCACATCAGAGGCAGGGGAGGACTTGGGAGCACGGGGGCCATTGCAGGGAGACAGACAGGCTATGTTAACACCCAGACTCCTGCTGGTTACACCAGCTTGAGCCACTCACCCCCTGTAGTTATGCCTCAGTTTCCCATGTGGTGCTAAATGAGCACACCGGCCTTGTAGTGTGTATTGAGACAGTGAAGGCATATATGAAACACCCCCAAAATGACCAGAAGTCCCTGCTAGGGGATTCCTATTCCTGGGATCCACCACCGTAGGGCTGTCCACTCACCCTGCGCCTGGGGCTGGGTGGAAGCCCCTGTAGGATCGGCGACTGGCCGGGCCTCTCTCGCTGAGCCTTGGGCGCCGGCCATCAGGTTCCGGGCAGAACTGAAGCCAGGCAGGGACTCCAAGAAACTTCCCAGAGTCTACAGGGGATGGTGGGGCAGCGTGAGCAGGGCCAGGCCTCGGCGGGGACACGGGAGAAGCACAGGGTAGCCCTGGGGTCCCGTATCACCTCGGGCTATTGCTCCTGGATGACCTCAGGAAAGTCTTAGCTGCTCTGAGCCTCAGTTTCCTTACCTGGGCAATGGGCAGATTCAGCCTGCCTGCTATTGACAGAGGAAAAGGCTGCCCTCTGGGTCTCCAAAGACCTTTTCCTTCCTCAGGCCCTATTTTGCAGATGGGGAAACTGAGGCTCAGAGAGGGGCTGAGGCTGGCCCAAGGTCACACAGTGGGGAAGGAGCTCAGGTTTGCACGAGCCCCCCACTCTACCACTCTCTGGGACAGGAGACAAGTTGGCTTGTGGCTCTCAGAGCCCTACCACCCCACTGGGGTAGCCCTCCAGACCCCAGGACTGTGGAGGCCACCTTCCCAGGGTTCTGGGGGGTCTCCAGGTCCCGAAGGGACCTCTGCCTCCCTTGCCTCCCCTCACCTTGCCCTTGGGTTTAAGGGGATCCCGGCCTCCTTCATCTTCAGCAGACATGGTAATATTTTAAGCAGCTGGAAGAGGGCAGAGAGGGTATGTGAATGGGGGCTCTCAGGTCTCCTGCTCCAAACCCATGAGCCCAGGCAACCCCCTGAAACCCCCTGGAGGCCCGGCCTCACCCTGGCATTGCCCACCTGGTCTGTGGGAGACTCCCGCAGAGCAACGGGTGGTGCAGCTGGCAGCTGGCTCTGCTCTCAGCCCCCAGGCCTTATAGGGTCTGGGGCAGGCGCGGGCCTGGCGGGCAGAGGCAGGCAGCCAGCGGGCAGGAGGAGGGCCCTGGGCAGTCACGTGCCCGCCTGCCTGGCCCAGCACGGGCCACAAGCCCAGCACCTTTCCCCTCCTCTCAGTTCAGGGTGGCCTCTTCCCTCGGCAGCCACACCCACCAGGCTGAGTGATTATGGGCCATCCTGGGATCCCTGAGGCAGCTCTCTCAGCCCCGGGCTTCTGTCCGTGAGATGGGCAGTTCAAACCCCTGCTCAGATGGGCTGCCTTGGCCAGTTACCATCCCTCTGCCTCAGTTTCCCCCTTCAGACTTCTCACTACGGCCCACAAGGTCCTGCTTCCTCCCTGTGTCCCCTCCTCCCTCTCTTCTCCTCATTCACTCTGCTCCAGCCACACAGGCCTCTTGGCAGTTCCTCCAACACATCAGGCACAGTCCTGCCCCAGGGCCTTTGCACAGGCTGTTCTCTGCCTGGAGTGCTGGTCCCCACACACCCACACAGCTCCCTCCCACCTCTGTCAGGCCTGTTTTGTTCCCTGCTATATTCCCTGCAATAGAACAGTATCTAGCGCACAGTAGGCATTTAATAAATGTTTGACTAAATGAGCCAATTCCTAGAGCATGAAATGAGATCAGGCATCTGACCTGTTTACTCCACTGCCAAGTAACCAGCAGGTGCTCAACCAATACTAGCATAGCATTGTCCAGGCAGAAAGAGGGGATCAGGGTCTGCTCTGAGCAGGAAGGGGGTGTGTCACATTCCAGAAGGGATTTCCCTTGAGACACAGCCCAAATACAGACCAAGATGGGGCACCATAGAGTTGGGGGCACCATAGGCTGTAATCCAGGCCTGGTGGGCTTGGGCCAATCCAAGGTGGCTTCCCAGAGGCAACATCCTGTGCCTCAGGCCCCAGAGCCAAGAGGGAGCAGAGACAGTGTTTGAACTCAGACCCGGAGACCGCATGCTCACAGCCCAGGCATATAGCTACCTGGCACACAGCAGGTGCTCAATAAACATTTGTCCCACGAACCAACGAATGTGTGAATAATAGTTTCCATTGGTGAGGCAGTTATGAGGACTGGGCACATCTGCATTCCCACTTTCATACCTACCCACTGCAGAGAGCAGGAAAACGGGGTTCAGACAGAGGAGGTCGCTTGCATACCCAGTTGTAGTCCAGGCTGGGACTCAACCCCAGGGCCTTAACTACCACTCCTCTGCCCTCAAATTTCAGGACTTCCTCAGCCCATTCTCTCCCCCACCCCTGTGTTCCAGTTGAACCGATTCCAGTCTTCCTGCCAAAATGCCCTTCCTGTGTGCCATTCTGTCATCCTCACCAAGCCTGGTCCTCCAGGAGCCCCCAGCCATGTGGGGGAAGAGAAGGCAAAGCTGCCTGTGGCATCAGTCCAGGTGGAAAGGGCTTGAAACCCCCAAAAAGGTGGGCTGTGGAGGGCCAGAACTATCCTGCAGGGGTGGAGTCAGGGAAGGCTTCCTGGAGGAGGTGGCACTGGGCTGGGGCTTGTGGGTGGATGGGATGTGTCGGAGAGATGAGTGGGAGGGTGGGAAGGGCATTCCAGGCACAGCCTGAGGTGGGGCAAGGTGCACAATTCCGTGGGAACGCAGTAGTGTCTGTAGGGCCCTAGGATAAGACTGGAAGTTCTCAAATGCCAGAGCAAGGAACTTGCACGTTTGGTCTTGGGGGTGACAGGGAGCCATGGAGATTCCTGAACAGGAGCAGGAGCAGGAGCAGGGAGGTGAATCTGGCAACTGGGAAGTGGGTGGGGCTCCCAGAGCTGCCCCTGGGCCGAGTCCCAGGGAAGCCAGAGGCCACCCTGACCTCATCACATCAGACTGAGGTTTCCCAACAACCCACCCAGCCACAGGGAATTCTGAGGGGTGGCCAAAAATGCGGTCAGAGGACAGGAGGGCCCCCATGAGACTGGCCTGTGGCCTTTGCCCTGCCTGTCTTCCCCGCACCGGCCAGCGCAACAGGAGAAGCCACAGCAAGAGCAGCTCCTGTGGGCGTAGGAAGGGCTGCCCTGTCTGACTTTTTCCTCTGCTCGATCCTGTTCCCTGCAGTGTCCAAGAAACTAATTTTTACTAAAGTGTGAACATCTGAATGCTTAAGCCCCGTGGGCTGGACATTAACAGTGGAACACCAGACAGCAATACAAGCTGGTCTGGTCAGAGATTCCTTCCGGATCTCAAACCCTGGCTTGTGTCATGCAGTCAGACACCTCTGGGACCTCCAGCACCCTGCGACAGAGAACTCCCCCTGCCCAAGGCCCACCCCTTCCAGAAGAGAGGCCATGGGCCTTGAGATGACACAAAGCACCTTTATTCTGGAAAGCAAACCCAAGCGGCAAAGCAAGTGGGTCTGGGAGGTCCAGCCGGGCATCTCTGGGGACCCCCTCAGATGTACAAGCTGGGGGAATGGGAGGCACTCACTTTTCAAAGCCCCAAATATTGAGCAAAATGTGTGCTTCTCTGGGGAGTTTTGATCAGCTCCTTGGAGTGGGCAAACAGGATCAGAGACAGATGAACCCAGCTTGGAACTGGCCAGACCTGAGTTGAGTTCAAGCACCCGGATGTCCAAGGAAGACTGGGGAGGGTCTGATGTCAGCGAAGCTGGTCTAGGATTCTGAATTCCGCCCCACCGGAGCGCCAAGGCCCCTGCTGTTAGTGCTTATGCATGGCCACTAGGGGGCAGCAGGGACCTTGGGGAGCAGGGCGGCTCGGCTCCCCGCCTCCGCTGCCCCACGGCCTCGTCTGGTCAGAAGTCCAGCTCTGGCATCAGGGTGTGCTTGGGGTGGCTAGGGGGCTTGGGCTCCTCCTCGGGAATGTCCCCTGGGAGGCCCAGCCTGTCCCCGTGCTGGGCCTGCCAAGCTCTCTGCTGGGCCGGCCAGTCCAGGTGTGCCCAGCGGGGATCGGGCCCCCCCACGACCTCGTCCACCAGGGTCTCCAGGTCCGGCGGGGGCGCGGCCCGCTCCACGAGGATGGGCGCGAAGGGCCCCACCAGCCAGGGCAGCGGCACAGCCTGCAGCACCAGCTCCAGCAGCTCGTCCACACAGGCGTGGGCCCGGGCCATGCTGCCTCGCCCCTCGGCCAGTGCGGCTGCTGACACGTCCCCGAAGCAGCGGGCGTCAGCGAAGGCGGCCTGCAGGGCATCCACGCTGCGCCGCACCTCGGCCACCTTCTCCTGGGCGCCGAGGGGCAGGCCCCGCACGCTGGTCTCCAGTGCATCCACCGTGCCCTGTAGCTCCCCCATCAGACTGCGGGACAGCACCAGGGTCTCCAACTCGGCCTGCAGAGGTGCAGGTGGGGCCTCAGCACCCCTGGCGGGCACATGCGGAACCATCGCCCTGCCTCAGTTTCCCCATGGGTGCCCAATGAGATCAAGCCCTGCCTTGGCCTCCCCTAATGACTCTTAGTGACGCTGGTGCCCAGCCTCAGTTTCCCCATGAACATGCAAAGCAGAGCCATCGACCTGCCTCAGTTTCTCCTGTGGACACTCCAACAAACCACCGACCAGCTGACCTCACCTCCGCACTTGGTTTTAGACCGCTGGAACCTGGCCCCTGGCCACTTGCACAGCTCCAGAATGTGCCCCAACCCCACCCGGGCCTGCCCGCTTCCCACCACCCTACCTGACTGCGGCGGCGGCCGTTCTCCCGGGGCCATTGGTGCCAGTCCTCCCACAGCTCATGCACCTTCCCAGGGCGAGCTGGCGCGGTGGGGGTCACCCCGCACTGCATAAGGTTGATCTGAGGGGACGAGGACAGTGACAGATCTGGGGGATTTGGGGGTCTGTGGAGCATGACCCTAGCCTGGACCTGGCCTCTGTAAGCCTTTAGGGAACACACCTCCTGCCCGCCTGCCTCTCCAGCCTGGCCAGCCTGCCCATTCCTTCTCTCCCCTGCCCTTGGTCAGGCCCTGCGATGCGTGGTTCGCCTGAAGCTCAGAGTCACTGCCAGGCCTTTGCCCATGCTGGTCCCTCTGCCAGCTATGCTCTTCCTCCATCCCACCCTCCTGCTTAGTTAGTTTCCCCTCCAGGAAGGCCTCCCTTTGTCCCCTCCTGGATGGGCAGAGCCTCCTCTGGGTCCCACAGCACCCAGCATGTCATGACCCCGATCCCTCTGATGGACTGTGAGTGTCCTGAGGGGGCCCCTGTGCTTCCAGCGCCCAGGACAGGGTAGGTGTTAGGAGACGAATAGAAAGGAAGTGTGGTCCACGAACACAATGGACTACTGGTCAGTCCGAACGAGGGAGGACCTTGGAATGCACGGGCAACATAATGCTCCGGGACATGATGGTCAGTGGAATCAATCTACGCAGGCGCTCACGGGTTCCCCCTGGTGGCTGCTCTGGGGAGGACAGAGTGGGGTCCAGGAACCCGGGGACCCTGGGCAGATTCAGTAGAGACAGACTGACGGCAGAGCCGGCAGGACGGGCTGATGCGTCTCCTGTGGGAAGGGAGGAGAAGAGGGGGCTCGGGGATGACCCCTGGGTTCTGGCCTGGGCCCCCGGAAGGCCAGCAGCTCAGTTAACAGGAGCTATGCTCCTGTGGAACTAACTGGTGGGAACCTCAAGGCTGGGAGGATCGGGACTGAGCCCAGGAAAGCAGGGGGAGAGAGGCCCCCTCTCTCCTGACCTACCTCAACTGCCTGTAAATTCCAGCTCCTATTTCCCCTCTTCCACGACACCCCTTCCTGTGCCCCCCATGCTGAATCTTGACTCCCCTGAACTCCCCAGCCCCCCTTCCTCCCTCTGCCCCAGCCCTGAACACATGTGGCTGGAAGCTGCTCTGCCCCTCGGACTAGCATGGGACCAGGTACTCAGCTGGCACTCAGTGCCTGCTCACTGGCCTGCACCATGAGGCGGGGGTGGGGGGGGGCTCTCACCAGCTCCAGCGTCTCCTGAAGCTGAGCCAGTGTGTCCTGCGCATGATGTTTCTTCTGCCTCAGTTTCCCCAGAGAGTGCTCATATGCCAGGTGGCGGAGCCGTGCTGACAGGGAGCCC